GTGTCCCTCGTTATTTTGGTGCTGATGTGCAACAGTGCAAGGTAACAGGTCAGAAAAGTTTTTTTTTTTTTTTTCTGTGGACCCTAACCAGGATGACTGCTTAGATCATCGGCAAAGCCAGAAGAAAGTAATAACCTACAAAACGATCTGTGACGCAAAAACTTGAACATTGCACTTTGGCTAGGAGGAAGTTTATTAAAGTCAAAGTCCAATGCGTGCTGAATTTGGCTGAATTGCCATTGGCTGAATTTTTCACATCATCTTTTTTTTTATTATTTAAAAATACTTAATTGTTTTTTTAATGTCTTGATTAAAACTGTATAGGACTCACATGTAACTAAATTAGATTAAAAAAAGTCAAATTAACAGAAATTTCTTGGTGTTGTTTTGCTATCCTCGGAGTAGCTTCAGCACCCACTAGCCTCTCCCTAACAGCTTTTTATGAGCATATAGCTTTGAATTAAATCTTATACTGAAAGAATTTGGCCTTTTGATTAGATAAGAAGAAGAACATGTTTGGGAATGAAATGCTGATTAGGTTAGATACTGCACCATCAGGACCAAGCAGCAACTGCCGGTGTTGAAAGATAAAGCCTAAAGTTTGGTTTGTCAATTGTCTGCTTGAGTTTGGCTGCAAAAGCCTCAGACTTTGACACAATGACATACATTGCAATACACAATTTGCATACATTGCAATGTATGCAAATCGCAAACTCAGAGGTAGCATTGAAAAGACAGTCCATTAATCAAGGCAGGGGTTCAGTACACAAGTTGACAAATAAATAACAAATCAAGAGGGCTAGGCAAAAGTCAGGGTCAAAAGGGAAGGTGAGAATCACACACAAGGAGCTAAATACAAATTGCTGGGAAGAAGGTACACTAAGAAAGACTACGAACTGGCAACAAAAGGGAGAATACACTGGGATTAAATACACAGACAATCAGGGAACAATAAGACACAGGTGAGGGAATCAGGGCGGGGCTGACACACAAGGCAGGAACATGAGGAGCAAGATCTAAAAGACAAGAGACAAGGGTAAATACAAAAACACAACAATAACCAGAAAATGAATAATAAAAAATAAAAAAAAACACAAAAACATGACCTAGTGCTGGTTGGAAACCTTTTCAGAATTTCTAATATAACCATTCAAAAAAGCCGTTTTTACAGCAGAAATAAACATGTTTACATCCTGGTACAAAAAAATGAAATTGGTCTGATGAGCTCATGTCTCAGTCAGCGCACGCTGTACAGGGGCTTCATTTTTAGATAACTCATCAGTTCTCATTTGATGAAGGATAATCTATTTTCACAATAAAGCGTGTAGCTGACATGACTGACTGGTGAGACAGGATTTCCAGCATGGCGACCGTCGTCATGGCCCCTGCAGAAACAGATGGGGGACTTCACTCAGGCTTTGTCCATTAATATTTACAACGTATGGTTGAAAGGCTGATGCAGAAATGCAAAAAATGTAAACTGATGGATTGAACATTCACTTCGATAATGTTTCCAACATGGTAACCTAGCCACCATCATTGGGCTTCAAAATGCTACTGCTTAAACCAGTGATGTCTTAAACCAGTGGGTGATCTGTTCATGTTTTATACAGTCTATGATCAGGACCAATGCAACACAAAGCTTAATTGTAAAGAAAGTCAGTTATGTTCATCTCTTTGACTAAAATCTTAACTCAACCACAAACCAAGCAAAGAAAGAAAGACATGGGAGCTCCACTTTCATCATTGTCTATCTTCCTTTTGAATGAGTAACGTGGATATAAAGGATTAAATTGTAGGGCCAAGTCCGTAAGTGCTCTATGAAAGGAGATCAAGCCGGGTGTTTGTTACTAAGAATAAGCAGCGGTAACGTCAGAGAGCATCTGAGCCGTTAAGATGAGAAGTAGGTCAATACGACGCAAAGAAAGATATGACGAGTTCTGATCCAAAGTCAAACCTCCGTTAATCCGCGGCTCCGGAGCTGCGACACGCTTCACAGGGGGGAAAAACATCGGCTGTTTGGTGACTGATAAGAGACTGGATCCTTTCTGTTTAGACATATATCACAATGGTTGTAGGATTAATCTCTCTAAGGTGAATACTTTTCTCTCAATACGTGCACAGCATCAAAACCTTTAGTTTTAATGTGCTCCTGCAAAATGACACTATTTGTCAATTCTCACACAATTTATTTTCAAAATAAAAGAATGCTATTACAGGCTTAAGTGACTCACAACGTGACTGCAATAATCAGGTCATATGACATTAAGGGAAATATAATGAGGTTATAAAATAAGGAAAAAATAAATATGCTTTGACAAAATCATAAAACTGTTCAACTGGTGTTTGTAATGTCTTAACTTTACTTCATATGTCAAGTGTGTAAATGACCTATTTGAGCTGGATTTAGTCTCTCTCTGGGAGTGATTCATGTTGTTCTCTTTTGTGTCTGTAACCTGTGCTGTCTTGTCCAGGTCTCCAGAATAAAAGAGATTTCAAGCTCAAGGGACTTTTTGGTTAAAAACATTATAAGGACAAAAGTGGTTCATTTTAAAATAATTTTGCAGGATTCAGACAATGCAAATCAATGAATTGATCATCTTTAAGGTAAGCTACAGATTAGAAGTATGGACAGCATTATAACAGGGACAATCACTTAAACCAGCAGGAGAAGCAGCATGAAGAGCACATGCAGAAGCAGAGGGAGTGTAGACTCCTCTGACAATAAGGCAGGAGGAGTAGACGCAGCATCCACACATGTACAGTATCTGTGTGTGTGTGCGCCTCCAGCTGTCCCTGCAGAGCAGAGCAATGTATCGGTGATGCATGGATGGCCTGCACCAACGAAATGGTCTGAATTTAGCTGAATGATCAAATCTTGAAAAAAATTATTGTTCAAAGACAATTTCAGGATTCAGAAACTGAAAGGCTCATGCTGGCTGTTTGAGCGGTTTAGTTCAACGGATCATGTTTTTTGTTGTTTAACATGTTTGTTGCAGTCACTAAATATAGTTTGAGTTTGGCGTCTCAGCTACGATCTCATCACTCCAACAGGAATGTTTTACATCAGGGGTGACGAGAGAGTGTCTTAAAAAGGACTTGGACTTGTAACACTTTTACAGTCTTCAAGACCAGTGATTCTCAACTTGTGGGTCGGGGACCTCCAGTGGGTTGCAAATATGTGCCTGGAAAAAAAACTTGTTTCAAAAAGGCTATGAAGCACTTTTTAAATGTGTTTGTTTTGTTCAGTTTATTGCTTCCTATGTTTAATACTGCACATACTACTCTTTTAGAAATCAAAATAAATTAGATTGGTTGAAAAAATATCTGACATTTTTCTCATGGAGGAGTTTGTGGTGGGTCCTGAGGCTAGAGGAGTTTAGAACAACTACTCTAGTCTATCCAAGCTGTTTCTACTCTACATGTCAGATTCACCTATTCTCACCACATTCACACACGGATCGCAGAGGCTGCTACGTGAGGGGGCCCATCAGTGCTAACTTTTCTCATTCATACTGTACACATTCACATACTTGTTGGCTGCATGCCACTCGAACACTCTGACATGTGGCTAAAGGAGGTATGGATCCAACCCCTAACCCTCCAGTTGGGAGACGACGGACTCTAACACTCAGCCACAGACGCTCAAAGTCAGGGCCTGCAGGTGGATGCTGGGGAGGTAATGGGGTTAGAAGTAAGAGGGCAATCCTGGTGTGGAGCAGCGCTGGCAATGTCAAAGCGGAGGAAGTAACCATAAATAAACCTGACATCCAAAGAGGATGTCAGGTTTATTTATGGCAGGTGATTGTGAAGAATGATGCATGTCAAATGTGAAAGCTGTGCAGCACGAGTTGCCTTCCTGAAATAGCTTACAGGTGCCACTCTATTTTATTTTTAATATTCCCAGTAGCCTATACTGTGATATTCAGTTGCATTATATAGCATAGGTTCAATAGATAAGGCTATCTAGAAAAATGTGTATGCTATTGCAGGCTGATCAAATTCAATGTTACTTCTAAAAAACAACACTTTAGTGAGATGCATCAGCTAATGTTAAATAACAAAAAATGGATTTACAAATCTGGATGATCCATATCAAACTTTTATCAAAACATGGCCTTAAAGTTAAGGGCAAGGATTTATGTCAAGGATCGAGGCGCCTTATTGACGATACTGCACAACTCCTCCGACAGTCTTATGTGCTCTCATTGTGAATCAGGGCGGTCTGTCTTCAGAAGGGTCCCTGCAGTCCGGCCTGGCAACTGGGTGACATGGTGATCTATCCATGTGAGCGCAGGACAGCTCTCTGCAGATGGGGCACTCGTGTCGACTGCTGTTGCTGCACAAGCTCCTGACACTTCCACTGCAGCAGGCCTGATCCGTGCCAGCCAATTCCAGCTCTTGTGGAACAGATGTCATTCGGTCAGGCCCATCTGTCGCTGTTTGCGTGTCTGCTTTGTGAATCCCATCACGGCTGTCCTGATGTTTGAGCTGAAGCAGAGGCTGTGTGCCTGAGTCTCACATGTCTTCATGCTTCTCTGTTCCCTTGTTGAGTATAAAAACTCTGAGTCGTTTCTGTAACTAGCTGGTGCTTTTTTCTCGAATGTAAGAACATTTTCATCTTCTGCTCCCACTATCCTTTATGACAAAAAGGTTTGTTTGTTTGATACAACAGCTTGATGTATGCATGTTGCAGCACTTTCTTCCCACACAATCTGCTGATGTAATGCCTCTCTAAATAAAGGTGTACCAGACCTCTCCAACCATAGATAGGAAGAGCACATGAACAGATAAGGAGCCATAATCTGAGCCTCTGAGAAGTGCCACTGGCCATGTAGTATAGTGAACATTTCACTATTCCACTCAATTTAACACGCTTAACGTATTCAGTGCCAGGGAAAGCTTTTGCCAGTTCAGGAATGCATGAGCAGACTCATTACAGGCGAGCAGACACATTTATTCTGCACATTTAAAATAAACATGACATCTGTGCAATAGCCTCTTATAAAAATAGATTTTATTATTAAGCAGGAACAGAAGTAAAGGTGTTGATCTGATATATGAAAAGGCATTGAGCGTTATCGTTACCGTGTATACGTGTTTCTTCTCTCTTCTATGTTTGTCTGATGATCAAATGGAAAATGTATGTAATGCCAAGTAATCCCACATAACCGACCTCTTCACCACAGGCTGAACATCACTGCTTTTATGCTTTTTAGTCTTACATGATCAAAAATGTTCAGGCGTTTCAACATTGTGCACCAGGAATAAACAAACAAAATCAAAATGCATGTATAACTACTGGATGCTGTCTCATGAGCAAATCTAATAGAGCAGTGACAGGAACACATTTTTTATTTTAATAAATGAGTATCAAAATTAACACTTTTCATTTTACAGCCACACAATTCTGAAATGTCCAAATATACATTTATTTATATATTTATACCTATACATATAGGTTTATTTTTAAATTGTCGCATAATTGCAAAAATTATGCAATTTATTATTCAAATGGTCATTTAGTGTTTTAATGCTATTCAATCTGTGTCAATCATTTCCTTTCATGTCGTATCAGAGGTATATGATCATAATCTTTTAATATTCAAACACTTTATTGTCGCCATGTTCCAGATTTAAAAAATGACAAATAACTGTGTGCTCCAGCATGGCTGAACAAAAAAAAAACACTATGGGAAAAAGGCAAATCTCCTCTTTTTTTAATGATGAGATAAGAAGATCCATATCCTGTCTGTGCTTTTAAGTAGCTGTGACCAATAATTGTATAATATCAGTGGTTATATAAGGATACTTGCATCTGAAAGAAGTTACATTCGTATCCCCCTTATGGTGTTTTTAGCAGACAAACTCTAAAATCTGACTTTATGTAGCCACTATCACCACAGCAGAGGCAAAAAGAGTTCGACTACATTCACACTGCAAGCCTCAATGATAAATCTGGATTCATGACTCAGATCCATTTTCTTTTGCTTGGCTGTTCAGGTTATTTTTGTGGCCTGTATCAGAATCCTGTGGTTTACGATTTCATGCGGAAATGGATGTTCAGTGGAATCTATGAGCAGATGAGAACGGCTGCTACATCCACACTGTTCAAACTGTCATTAAAAAAAAACTGATCGCATATGAGCATACAAAATTTGATTTGGGTCACCTTTGCCTGCAGTGCAAACATAGAGACTGTAACGTGTCTCTTTCCCTCGTTCTCTTCCTCCCTCTGCCTGCTGAACAACACTCAGGGAGGACGGGGGCACTTAGAGGAGCAGGAAGGGAAGCATGTGGTGAGCGGCTTTTGTATCCCCTTCCAACTTTTACTCCTTTTCCTCAAGGTATTTTTATTTTTTTCCACACAGAGCGACAACACGTTGGAATGGCTCAGCAACTTCCCATCTTTTGTTCTTGTTGGTCGGGGTCTCCAGTCACTTTTGTTTTATCTAGTTTATTCTTTATCTTTTAAATATTTTGGATATGTATATAAATAAAGCTCTAGGTTCAAACTTTTCAATCTGCGTGACATCCCTCTTTATTTTGGGTCTCAATGTTTTGACCCTTGCTTTACTTAGTGAGACTTGCTGATAATGAACACAATGGAGAGTTTGGCAGCAAAGCAGCCAGTTCATTTTTCTCTTGAGTCGGCAGAGAGCGATTGGAAAAAGTGAATATCGACCTACATTAATGTGTTAGATAACTTTTGCCTTTACTCACTAACTAAAGTAAGTGCCTGTTTTAGAGAATTCACTTTATTTTTTGTTGGTTTCAGGATATTGCTTCTCTACTAGCTTAAAACAGTTTTCAACGTCACATGTGATTTCCCCCCCCCCACCAAGAGATAAACAGGATGGCCTTTTCTCATAATTGGGGGGTTTGTAGACAGACTAGGGACACATATTAGTGTTCAGAAACCATGGTAAAGTGTATTTAGCATAATATGTGATCTTTAAAGTAGGTCCTGACCAATACGAGATTTTGGGGACAATACCAATATCGACGTTGGGGAGGGAATGACATCCATTACCGATATATCAGCATATATAGATATCTATACCGATATTCACATTTAATGCATTAATTAAACCCCCCCCTCAATGCAGTTATCAAACACTTGTGGAAAAGATATAAAGTATAACGTAGACGAGATGGTCACTCAACTGGAAGATAACTGCCGCTTGACACCTAGAGAGTGATGATGCTTGTTGTAATCCATATAGCACCCTCTGCTGGTGAAAAAGTTTAATACAATGAATCTCAAATGAAATGATTTTTGACCAGTGAATAAATCTAGTAATATCGGCGCATATTTGCGATCAAATTAGCCGATAGTCGCTTGATATGGGTCGGGCTCTACTTTAAAGGTAATAACTAAAAATCATGCCAATTCTAGTCATACTATGACAACATTTAGCAAAAAATAAACCTGAAAATAATGGTGATGTGGTCCTTTAAATTGTCACTGCACATTACCGTGGCTAGAAAATCACTGTCAGCTGGCTATTAATAAACCTGAGATGTCAAACTTAAAACAAAAACACACACACACGTAGAGTGACAAGCTCAGGGAGATCACAAAGTAAAATTCAAACTTGTAATTTCAAAGATCAGGTTCATATTTTCTAATGTAGAAGAGAAAAAGTAGCCGACACCAGATTGCGGGACTGAGAGATGAAGCCTTTTGACTGAACTCAAAACTAGAGCCAGGTGATGAACCAAACATCAAACTGACAGAAAACAAAATCGGCTGGTTACTGGTGACTGGTTATATAAGAGTCACAGTGTACATATTTGATCACATTCTGCAGAGCTTTGATTTTCTTTTGCGTAGTTGGCGTTACAACAATGGAGTTGTAGTGCTCTAGTAAAGTTTGCTTTAAATTTTAGGTGGGTTTCCTTCAGCTCTCACATTTCTGAGCTGAATCAACACACATAGTTTCACGAATCCAATCGGCACTTGCATATATAGGGCTGTTAAGTAATATTACTTATGGAACGAAGAATTAAAAAATGAAGAGAGAGAGCACCCTGCCCTATCTGACAACGAATCAGGTGTCCTCTCGTCCTTGAATTCATTATGCGCGAGGGATACAAATCTCCCCTCTGAGACTGATGATTAATGTCAGCCCTGACCTGACGTCGCTCCTGCTGATCTCTCCTCCTGTAGTTCAGTGAGGTCAAAAGTCCAAAGTGTCGCGCTGGTGCTGCAGCCGCGGGCTGTTCTTGCTGTAAAACTGACTGTACCAGCGCCTGTGCTTCTGGATGGCTGAGTCCTCCTTCACCAGGAGAGGCTTGGAGATGTACTTCTTATTGTTCCAGATCATCACGTCTCGCTCAAACTGCACACAAAAGAGATCAGGAGGAGGAGGTCACTGGATGGTAAATTATGAGACCATCATTGAGTAAATATGGTTTTGAAAGAAATGATCATATGTATTATAGCTTTGCTTTGTTATAAAACTTAGAATTCATTTCAATCTGAGCAAATCTTGTTTGTTTTCATGCTCAACAAAAATAGGAACATGTTTCTATTTAAATATGGCTAAAATAAAACAAAACCTATAAGAACAATCTGTACTTTCAACTGTCTTGTTGCATTACAGCATTAAAATGTATGAGCGGGGATCTCAAGTGCTGTTGATGAAATGTCACTGCACAGTTAGTCCATCAGCGGGTGAGATTTGGCATTTTAGTCCAATCTCAAACGCTCACCTTTTAAAAATGAGTTTCCTCTCGTGGCTCTCTGTGTTAATACCACATGGAGAAACAAAATGCCAAAGCAATTTAAAACCATTCACGCAGGATTAGAGAAAATGAGCAATGATGAGTGAATGGTATCTTAAAACTATAGTGCCGGATATTAAACATCTATCCCGTTTTAATAAATGTCTCTGGAACAAACACAAACGAAAGCAACAGCGCTTCACACATTGCGATTCAGTAACATCGCCGGACTGATGTTCTTACTCAGTTCAGCTCCTGCTACGTCAGCGGTGTATGAATGGGATTAGTTACGTCTGATGGTCACTTTACAGACATATAGTTTAGTTTAGTTTATTTGCATATTTTTTGAAAGAAGAGTCAAACAGAAAACTAAAACAAATAAAAAAACAAAACACATGTACAGATGAGGTAGAAACCCATGAGGGCTTATCTCAAAACCTCACTTTAAGAGATTAAACAAAGTTAAAATAAAATACAGTAAAAATAACAAAGTAAGAATATTTACTATCACAATTAAAATTTTCCCAATTGAAAATGACATACAAACATTGAAAACATAAAAATAGAGCAAAACAGGACATACAGTATGTAGACAACATAACAAAATCAGGACAATTCACTATTCACTACAAATCTTTCTGACATCAACGCATTTCTGAGTCTCAAGTTGTATCTAGAAAAAGACAAAAAATCATTAAGTAAATAAATATGCGTGATCCATAATTTGACTCCACGGTATCTTATTGAGTACTGTCCTCGAGATGTACGACACATTGGTAGGTGTAGGTTATTGGTTTGTCTAGTTGAGTAATAGTTCACTTAAGAATTAAAAATGAAAAATGCTTTAAAGCTTTCTGGCAAGTTTGCACTCATGTATTTAACTAAAATAAAGCTACTTATTTGAAGAATATTGATATCAAAGATTGTCAATATGTTACACTTCAGAAAAAGAGGGGAGATACGTCTGCCGTCAATGTGAGAATGGGTGTGAATGTGTAGGTGTGACCTGCGGTGTAAAAGAGCTTTGAGTAATCAGGAGACTAGAAATGTGCTATACAAGCTCAAGTCCATTTAACAATTACCATTACATACACATACACTCAGACATGAGTGTGACATTGCTGTTTGCCCCTCCTGGCTCCAAACGTTATACATCATCGCCGTCTCATTGCATTATGCATTACAGGCAAGGTGAACAGGATCATAAATATCCTGTCTTAAACTGACAATATGGGAAAGGGAATATGGAAATTGTGCAACAATCATTGGCTTTGCACCACAACAGATTTTTTTATTACTTTTTCTCTATTTAAGTTTTTCTTATCGAAATATCATTTTGTCAGTTTTAGATTGTTTCATATCGGTAAAGTTCGAGTGAGTCAGCGTGATTTTACAAAGCATTTAACATTTTGGCTAGTTGCACTGGATAGAATTAGTGTTTGGTTAAGTCCTTATTAAGGCAATAACTGTCCAACTATCTCTTGGTTCTTCTGTGTTGAGAGATAACTTTTCAGTTTCACTTTTTTGTTGAATCAGTGACAGTGTTTTTTTTCCCCACTTCAACACTCAGATCATTATCAAGTTTAACGAGGACTATTTGCACCCTCTCTGTGACTGTGTGGTGTTACTTCTGGTGGCAATGAGCAAGCAGGACTGAACCGAGGCAGAGTGGGAGGCAAATACACACAATGATATCCTCACATTAGAGCGATTCTGAAATTACAAACAGAGTGCAGATAGATAAAAGTAGTATTTACATTCATCATGCACTTCAGCTACTTTGTCATTTTTGATGTCTATTCAGGACGTATGTGTTTTACAGTGATAGTTGAAGCTTAGTTTGCCTCACCTGAGTGCACTCTGCTCTGAGGATGAACTTTGGCACTATAGCTGGGATGTTGGACTGGTAGAAGATGATGTGAGAGACACACTGAAGCAGAGGCTCCACTGGAGTCACACAGTGCAGGATGACACCCCGGCCCAGGAAATTGTGCTCAAACTGCAGAAACACCACTCCTGGACCCACCTGAAACATAAACATACGTATCATAAGTGTGAGTTAAATACTTATGTGACGTGCTTTATGCACTATTGATAAAATAAACAGTTACATGAAGTTAGGGTTGTTCAAGATTTTACCTGTCTGGCCACAACATTGACATCCAGCAGAGAGCAGTGGCGTCCAAACACAGTGATGGCATGTTTCAACAACATCTTAGAACAATGCTTGTTGGGCTCTGACTCTGGTTCCCATTGGGCCTTGAATAACAGCAACACCAACAAACACACATGCAAACACACAGAAAAAGCACAAAGAAATATTGAGTGGGTATTTATCTTTTAGCCAACATGAAACATGTGCAGCACCATCTTACACCTCATTGCCACTTAGTTATGCATAAACAGATTATGAGGCATTGAGCGCCTGGGCACGTGGACTCTATAGGTCAGTACTAGTCACATACGTAAGTGGAAACCAGGTGTTTAACTAAAGTACCATTAAATATATCTAAGCTATAATATGTATGTTTTAGATCATTATGTTTCTAAAAGCTTATGAGTCCCAATACAATCTGAATATGTTGCATTTGTTATATTCACTGTTTGATTATTGACAGTAAACTTAAATTCCGTACCTTCCAGTCATGCTGTAAAAACTCCCAGGTCTTACTTTTGGTGTAACGCAGATCTACTCCACTGACAATACCTGGCGTATGCAGGAAATTAAGGTGAGCGATGTCTGCTGCATTTTCAGGAATTTCCTGAATAGAAAAAAAATCACCACCAATGAGTGTGTTCAATGCATAGTGAGCCTGGAAGAGTTCCAAGGTGAATTTTACAGACTTTCTCTTGGTGTGTATTGAAACACATCCACACACACACTACAAATAAACTACAACTCCTACACATGTTATGCACCCACCTGTATGTGAGCATTGATGAGATGTTCAGTTCTCCCCCGATACACCCAGTCGCCCTGTGTGATTTCCTGCAGCTCGGGGACGGTCCACTGAGGTTCAACTCTGTCACAGTGAAACCAAACCAGGATCTGGCCGTTGACCTCACTGCTGGGCCAGCTGCGCACTTCGGCAAACTCTGGCACTAAATGACAAAATAAAACACCAATCTGAATCATCGCAGTCTTTTAAGACATCCATCATGGGGGCGGCTGTTGCTCAGTTGGTAGAGCTCCTGCATCAACATTTCCGATGGGCAAGACACTTAACCCTGCTTCCTCAGCTTCATGTGTGTGAATGGAATTAGTTACTTCTGACACTTTACATAGCAACCTCTGCTATCAGAGTGTGAATGTGTAGGTGAGACATGCGGTGAAAAAGTGCTTTAAGTAGTCAGAAGACTAGAAAAGCGCTATATAAGCTCAAGTCCATTTACCATTAAATGAACAGCTTTATTAATTTGTTAAAACACATAACCTACTTTACCACCGTCTGTTCACAACCGGACAACAAACGATGCCTGCTTCTTAACTTGTATTTATGGACATCTTAAAGCTCCTGTGTGGAGATTTTTGGTTGTGTAAATTTTGGCGCCCTCTGTGGACAAAGCTGGACAATTCTTCTATTTCCTGATTTTGTCCTGTACATGTGTAAGTGGTGTTTTCTGAAGAAAAAATCATCCTTTTTAAAAGTCTAAAATGCATCTCATCATGAATGTTTGGCATCTAAAATGTTGATATAGGCTGTGTCTTCAGGGTGCTCGCCTCCACTGACATCTACCCTATGGCAGGAATAAGAGGCATATGATTAAACTATATAGAAATAATCAGCCTTCTCTCTGATTGTTTCGTTTGCTTTGAAGGTCAAATAGATACATCTGTATTCACTGACTTTTTCATTACCAGGTAAAAAAATCCTCACAGCAGCTTTAAGCTTAACTAATGCTTGAGCACTATAGTAACATAACTTCAATGTTTATCATTGGCTGAACATATTAGTGCCCCCCAGAGGATGAACAATTTCCATTTAGGTCAGCTCCCTTGAAATGCCATTTTCAAAAAAACATGTTAACTTTCTACACAATATTATGTCATGATTTTCTGTGGCTATCTTGTCATGAAGGGTATGATTCTAAATATCTTTGCTGGCCCACAAAATCTTTCTGCAATAATCAATATTGGCCTGATGTTCTGATTGGTACAGAAAAAAATGTAGTATCTTTTGTGAGGGGCACTTGCAAGATTATTTATTTGGAGCATCTGCAAACAAAAGTGTATGAGAGTAGAGTCTTTAAATGTGCACTTTGATGGACAGGTAATGTCAAAGAGTGGTCTAAATTACAATTTATTTGGACTCAATCAAGTTTCCATAGCTCTGAGGCATGGTTATATTGCCTGAAATTCTTGACATTGCAACTTCTTCATTTCATACCTTTTTCTGCATAGGGGATCTTCACACACTTTCCATTGTTCCCATCAAACTGCCATCCATGAAAGGGGCACTCTATGCAGCTTCCCACCACTCGTCCTCCCATGGCCAGGTTTGCACCCAGGTGAGGACAGTAGGCATCCAACACGTAGGCCTTCCCATCCTGGCCCCGAAACACTGCCACCTGCTCCCCTATGGTGATCAGTTATGAAGGGAACAAACAAGATTAGAGAATTTTAATAAAATCAAATAGAACAAAAATACTTAATGACTGTTGGAGTAACCCAAATCAATTTCAGTGACTCGGTGTACATAGTATCTCTAAAGAAAGGTGCATAGGGAAATAATAGCAAAATGTTGTTATACAGGGGATTAGTGTCAGTCTCTCATAGCAGTGGGATTTAAGTATCTTTGACTTTATTAAGTGTGGAATTGATTCTAAGGAAACCCAGACAGGAGAGGGAGGGGAAAAAAAACTTTCTTAATAATTTAAATTAAATAAAAAGGTAAAAAGGTTCCCAGGAACATTTTCTAAAATCTTCATCATTAAAACAGGTAAAAAAAAAAAAGTTTAATTAGTTTCAAAGTAAAACAGAAAACCTGATTTTTTTTCATTACATTGAATAAGTGACTAATGCTGCACTCTAATGCTGACAAAATTGGTATTACAATGCATCGTTGCGATTAAAGATTCCCCATGACAACATTTTCGATTGCACTGACAAAAAAAAAACCTAGGAAGAAATATTAATTAATTAAACATATTTCACCAGCTTCTTATTATTTTCACCTGTTTTCAGCAGAAAAGGAGTTTGTAAAGGAAGTTATTTCCTAATGTCTAAAAAAACTGGTTAGGGTTAGGGTCCATGTTCCAAAGGGAACTCGCCCTCAAAATCTCTAAAACTCATTAGAGAATATGATAAATTTAATAATTGAAGGAATCACCAAATATTAGTTTTCTTCTTTTCCTCTCAGTGTTTCCAGAGTGCTTTGCGGTTTTTTAGAATGGGTGAGTCTGACACCACATGTTGAGACCTCCAGCTACTGTATGAACTATATAAGCTTGACTTTTGGTTGACCTGCACTACTCAGATTGCTCCCAGATTAGCACAGGCTGGGCGAACATGGCTAAGAGTAACCCTGAGCCAGCTCTTGCCATGCCTAGTCTGAAAATTCTGAGAAATCTAAAATAAGGCTCAGCCTGGTGAGGGGTGACACAGCACTGTGCTGCTGCCCTGAGACTGTCGTTGAGCAGAAATGATCCGCAGTGCAAAGTTGCAAGAACAGCACAGGGGGGAAAGACATTTTAATATACGGTGTGAAATGGATGACCGCAGAGAAAAGGGCCAGATGAGCTGGCATTCACAGCAGGACGCAGATCCTGAAGGAGGCCAAGTTTTGAAATTGGCTCAGCAGAATTTAGGACAGTAATATGTCGGGTGCTCGAGGAATAATTTGGGCTCAAAGGGACAAGGGGGGATGTGAGCGAAACATATTCTATCATCGCACAGTCTGTACCATAATCACCATAGACAAAAGGGAGTCTTTTGCAAAAAGAAAAAAAGTAATTAGATTTATGTTAACCAACATGCATTAGTGTTCTAACTGCAAAGATCTCTGGACCAGTCTTAGGACATATTTTTTAAGGTGTCACTCATGTCTTGCCTTTTTTACCCAGTCCTATCTTTGAGAAAGACTACCCCATTATTATTTTTTAAGACTATTCAAGACAGATTTATAATTAATAGTAATTCATAATATTACTGTGATTGGATGCATGCCTTCCTGCTTCAAATGTAACATTTAATTCCCATGGAAACACAGGAATATTCCAAATCAGACAATGTTGCTCTGTAATTCCATTTGAAAAAGTCATCAACCTATAATTTAACAATAGGCCTCTATGAAAAGTAATGGATGTGGGTTACAGGGCTATCTATATAATAGCCCTGTAACAAACCTTCATTTCCTCATTGTTGGTCCATGCAGCTATCTTTTTACATACGTATGCCTACCACTCCACAGCTAGTTTATTCATGCCCTCATAGTGTGCACCCCTTCTTATCAGCGCTCAGTCTTTAGTTTGCTCAGCGTCATCATTTCATCACCCTCAGCAGAAATCATCAGTCTCCATCTCCACCATCAGTATCAGCACTCTGAAGACACCCTTTGATTACAATACGTCTCTGCAGAGTCTAAGCACCAATAACTTCCTGAAACATAACTACAACATTATATCAGTTATAATTCACATCCCTTTTTAACGTCTTTCTGCTATCATTAAGCTCACATTAAGATAATTATTGTAATTAAGAAAACTGCATCTGCTAATGAAGACCAGGGATCAGAATTTAGAGATCTGGAAGGTAATAAGCAGACATTTAGTTGCTTAATCAAATAGTTACAGGTTATTTTTATTGATGTGATAAGAACATAAACTAATTAGTTGATAAATGAAAATGTATTTCCCAAGTTATGAATTTAATCTATCAATCACAATCAAATGCACAGATTCCCTGCACTAGGCTTCACCTTGACATCTTCATACCCATTTCGATGGGCATCTTTTTAAAGGTTAAATGACTCATCATTGAGTAGAAAATACATTGTAATTTGTGATTAAATTGTTTAAGTTATACTGTATGCTGACAAACTCCCAAAGAGCAGGTGTCTCTATTTACTGGTGTGCATTTTTCCAGGTAGAACATTTTTCATATTCTGTTTGCTTATTTCTGGCAGGTGATGTGACGGAAATATGAAAGCAGAACACGCTCTTTGAAACCTTTTTGAACTCCAACTCAAAGAAACTCTGGGAAGAGATCAAACAGACCTGAAGCAAATCAACACGGCAATAAATCTAAAAGTGTGAAATCGGTTTGAACTACATGTGCCCATGGAAACATGCCAAAATAAAATCACAGATAAGCTGTGTAACAGAGCTGCAACAACATTAAGCAGAACAGAGACACAGATGTGACAAAAGCTTCAAAGCTTTAAATGATGACTTGTCATATGATTGATCATGGTGTTTTCACACAAGCAACAAAACTCTTGAATTTTTCCTGAATTTTTGGGGAAAAACTGCATGTGTGAACAAAGCAGCGACCTCCGGGGTTGAAAAATTAAGCCTATGCAGAAGTGCAAAATATTGCAGTTATTTGAGTGTCCACTCGAGGCTAGCTCCAGGAACCAAGGAAATCACATACACAACACAGCAATATGTTAGCAGCCTGGTACAAAAAAAAAATGATATAGGTCCGATTAGCTATTGTCATTATGGGCACACACTGTAGGGGGGGGTTTATATATATATATATTTATATAACAAATCTGTTGTGATTTTATGAGCAATACGTGTTATCCACAGTAAGGCACGAGGCTAGCCTGGCACAATGTAACGGTTTGTCAGGAGGCTTAAAAGCTGCCTCAGCTTCAGCTCTCAGCCTGTCGTTAGGTTGACTGAAAGTCAGACTGAGACAGGATTTCCAGCATGGCGGCTGCTGCCGATGAGCCTCCAGAGCTGCAGGAACAGATGGCTGATGTCACTGCAGGCTTCATCCATTATATTCTATGGTGTGAACACAAACAGAATAATTTTTGCTTGACCCCTGACAGACAGAAAAATGTTGTTGTAAAATTTTTGGTGAGCTACTTTTTGGACACAGCAAAAAATATTCAAGAAATTCTCACCACGAGTAAGTGTGTGGTGTTCGATGACGTTTATATATTGCAACCAATCCTTCGCTGGTGCAATTTTTTGAAGAAGATGCTTCATACTGTTTTCTGCACTCCAGTTTTTTTGTTTTTTTTTAACTCTCTCATTGACATTGTTGAATATTTTCAATTAGCCAACACAAAGCATTGCTCTAAAGGTAAAAAACTGTCAACATATAGTTGACAATGATTTTCAGCTATAGAGCCATAATGCAGGGCTGTCAAATCACCATAATCACTGAGTCAATAATGTCTGTTACGAGCTAACACAACCCTGCTGCTAATGAAGATTACAGAGACAGAGCCACCACACCCCCCTCAGGTGTGTCATCAGTACTGACCCTGCTTCTCCTCCTACCAACCACGCCTACCGCTAAAGACACTGAAGTGAATCCTCCTAACGCCTTATCATAACAATGTCAAACTGCGCTTGTGTGAAGAGATGGGACTGATCTGATCTTATCTCGGTATCGGGTCCGATATTGACCTAATTTATGGATCGGATATCGGACTGACGGCACCGATCCACGTCACTGATTGAGAAGGATCGTTTGGCACTTACAACATTCTCAGCTGGAACAATTTTGCTTTGTGTCTACAAATCATCATCTTCAAGATGTTCAGAAAAGATGGAACCGCTCCTTCTATACGATCAAAAGTACAAGTCTTACACTTCAGTTTAAAATATCTAATTTGAAAACCTGACAGTTGTTGCTGCTTCTTGTTTGTATGTGAAGCCAGCACAATGAATTGCAATGCTGGGTTTACTCCAGCTTTGTGTAGCCTTACACATAATACCAACAACAACAATAACATTTTATGATGATAAAAATATCAGAATCAGAATTGGTACATGTATTGGAATCGATGGATTGGTGCATCTCTACTTGTGTGAATACAAATTGAAGTAAATTTTATTATTTGCTCAGACGTATTTGATTTGAATCAGATGCTGATATTCATGATTATTTTAAGACTTAACACCCTACATGAACTGTTTGACTGACAGTTTTCATGATCTATTTTGATTTGGATGAACAAAGTGATGACAGCTGAACTCTCAGACGAGGACTCCTTGTTGCATCATAATTTATCTTTACAGTGAAACAGTGAAAGGGCTAACAACAACTACAAGATATAAGAAGACACCACCTTAGGCTTCCTTTGTGTTCATAAAAATAATACTTCCTTACATTTACTGTTATGTAATAATTCTGCTCATATTTTTATCCCAGTGTTCAACATGACACCTTTGAATCACACGAGCCTGATCGACCTGAAACAATAAAGCTTTGTCCAAAGAGGAAAGTGTTGATCAGCACCCTAACCCCTATACAATCGGCCAATTGTGTTTCAAACTTCAAAACATAGTAATTTGAGCTTGCATCTCTTATCATGGCAACCATATTGCCTAACTACTACCAGAAATAGGACAACAGAGACAGGTACACCAGGAAGTATCAGTGTTGCAGAACATCTGCTTCAGATCATGGCAGGGTTTTGCATTTCTTTAGTGAATGTTATGAATATAAAATAAAAGGCTTGTTTAAGTATTTATTTGAAAATGTAAAAGGAATCCATTCAACTTCTGTGCACCTGAACATGACCTCATAATGTTTAAGTTGTAGTCTACCTTCCTGACTTACTGGTTTGAGTGACATTGAACCTTTAGATGTTAAGTTATTGATCCTGTACACTCCACGCTTATTGGCATCACCTACAAGAAACCTGTTGGAAGAACTCAGGGTATAGTCCTGGAGATTCACCTCACCTGTGACAAAGCTCAGGTTAACAGGAGTGCAGTGTCAGCATCTTTTCACACCATCCAACACTGTTTGAGCGGTTTGACTTTACTTAGGCTAAATCTTCTAGGCTACAGGATGGCTACCCGAACTATGTTCTTAATTTAGCCTTAGGTGATAGGAAAAAAAATGTCTTTTGTGTCTGGAGTAAAAGCAAACGTTTTACATGCTAAATTATTTCAATAAGTGACTTAGGCTACCAAAGTTAGTGGACGGGTTTGTACAACAATGCCACTTTAATAGTTATAAATCCTTATTTTGAGCAGTGGTACGCTTACATAAACATATCATACCTACAACAGTGACGTTTTTGACCTCGCCCCTCTCCAACAGGTGTGAGTCCAGCACTCGGAACCAGCCGTTCGGATAAACCGGAGGCAGATCTCCGACTTTCCGCCTGCGGCGCACCTCGTTTGCAGCCCGGGCTCTGGAGCGACCGTCCTCGGCGATGTATCCCACCTCATCGGGAGCTTTCAGCAGCTCCAAGGGGCAGAAGAGAAGTTTGTAGAGCCAGCCCAAGGCGAAGAGGGAAACTCCGGCGGTGAGGCAGAGCACTGCCCGGTTTAGAAAATATCTTTCTCCCCATATCGGGGACTCGATGTCTGCTTGGTCAATCTGCTCTTTGCCTCCTCGGAAGAAAAGCGATGCACCTGCTCCAAGGGCAATAAGAGCAGCTGTCTTCCCAGTGCACATGTTCTGACTGACCATCTTCCCCCTTACTGAGGCTTTCTTCAGTCCCCGTCCAGGCTTTTAGTTCACCAGAGCACTTTTAATATGATGTGCCATCCGGAAGTTACAAAGCATTGACACGGGAGTCAAGGATCCGAGATGCGCCACACCCACGGCGGCCGGAGCACAAGTTTTATTTCACTTGTTTAGAGCACTATTTGACATCAAAATCACTGTTAGCAGCCAATATGTTTTACTGCCATAATTTGTAACAAGTGTCACATTCAAGTGAGAATTGCCAGTTTAAAAAAAAGCTGCATAGGTTAATAATAATTTAATTATCAGTATTAGCCAATTGCCTATATGTTATTTGCATGGCACCATATGCAGCAAAAACTGCTTTAGGCCTACCTATTCTACTAAATTACACGATAATGTGAAAAAATAGGATTGAAAATGTTTTTAGTTCACAAAAGAGCAAATAAGTTCTCAAAAATAATATCAATACATTATGTCTCAGCTATAAAAGCCATAAGCTGACATGCATAAATAGGCTACATTTTACAACATTTTTCAAGTATTTCCTTTCCCTTTTATTTGTAAGAATGATAAGTGCTAAGCAACATAAGATACAAAAGCCATATGCGCCTGTGATCCTATACCTACTCTTACTCTATCACATTTCAGCTAATGCTCCTGATCAAGTGATTTAGTGTGAGTGGAAAGTGTCCATATAAAAGTGAAAAGTCCAGTCAGAGTAGAGCAGCAGCAGTTATTACCTGAGGACATATTAAACAGCTTATAATCATTAAAACTGTTGACCTTTAGGGCGTCCTGCAGAGACAAGACAAAGTTCAAATCATCCAACTTCATACTCCTAACTGTGGGAATATGGTTCACTTTAAATTCTGGTGCTCACCAAAATCATAAAGGTAGATGCATTTTGAAAAAATGTGTTTTTTAACAAACTTCTAGGACTCTCTTCAATTGTCATCTTTGTGGGGTATGTTGGAGCAGGGGCAGAGCCAGACACCTTTCTTAAAGGCAGTGGTTCCCAATCTTTTTTCCTTGGAGCTCCCCATACTTGTATCTAAGAAAATTTTAGGGATAATATGTGGTCACCATTATTAAAGTTAAAGCAAAACTGAAAGGTAGGTGATTGAAGGATGCATGAAGTTTAAAGATCAAGGAAGAGAGGAGAGAAAGTATTTTGGAATGAAAGGGTAAATTCTCCTGAAGACAGTTGTACCAGGATGATTAGACCTCAGAGGGAGTATGTCTTGTATATTATTCTCTTTGGGCTAGAAACAGGGAGGTCCATGAGTAGGAGCACTGTAGAAAAGTGACTCCCCCCAAAATGTTGTAATGGTTGCAACAACAGTGTTTCATGTGGTGAAAATGGAGGATGTGAAGAAATCATACACAAGATGTCTGAGTGCAGAAAAAGACCACAAATATATGGTAACTGGCAAGGTCCTATTGCACTAGATTCCACTTCTGTAAAACAATGCCACAGTCCATCTATAATGTCATTATGATGCCTTTCACAATCCTGAGCAATAACAGCTTTCTCATCCTCTGCTACGAGCGTACATATAAAAAGCAGATTTGAAGCTCTAAAGAAAACATTAAATCGAAGAGGTTGATATAACCTGAAAATAGTAATATTAACCTGAATAAAGGCTTATAATCAGTGCCCTCATGAAGGGAAGTTTGGTGACTTCATATATGACAACCTAATCCAACAATGCATGAACAATTGCGGTTTTGGTAGAAATTTCTGGAGCATATTAAATTATGCTCTCTCTATACGTCTGCTACTCTGCAGACTTTGCTCAAGGAAGTCCACCATGCCTAGCATTTAATGGTTTTATACATGATGAATATAATCCGCAGACTTTACTGACTCCAGATATGACGGCCCCCCGTTTGGACTCTCTACTCTCTTTCATTCAGTGTCAAAGCAAAAAGTGGCAGAGTAAATTAATCTGCATGTCTTTGTGAAGTAGGCATAGAGGAGGCTTGATGAAAACTACTCACATAGCCAGTTGGTGAACAACAGCATGCTGATTCCTAATGTAGCCTGCACAGTTCATGCCAGCACTAATCTGTCACTATAACTCTCTGACATTCTTTTCGTGTCAGAGTTCTTTCTGTGGATAATAAATCACTTTATCTGAAGGTACATGGTGAGGGAAAAGGCTCTCAAAGTTTTGTGCTTAGTGGTTATATTACATCATTACAAAAATTACAAGTGCCATTGGCTGGCATTAGTAATAAACCCATTGCACCCATTGACAGTTTGCTGATGCCAATGCCCAAATCCCACCAGTTTGACTTGATGTGAAAAATTCATAAACATTTAGGGACATCCAGTTAAATTGAAAAGAATTGGACTTCTTTTATTACTGATGGAGGAGTCAAAAGGTGGAATCGTTTACCCTCATTTTTTTGTATGCACTCTTTTATTTCAAAAGTGAAAAAAAAAAAAAAAAAAAAAACATCACTGAGCTTGTGTTACACCTTCTGATGGAAGGCTGGGAAGGATTGTGGTCCAAAGATGGACAAAACGAAGCCTCATTTCCTGTCCAAAGGAGCTGTCATTCATCTCAGCATTGAGGTTTAGGAATGGTTGTCCAGTGCTGGTAAATTCAGGCCAGATCACAGGCACCTTCAGGTTTCCACTGTTAGGGTCCCTGTTAAAAAAATACAACAAATTGTTGAAGAAATTACTTACACTTGACTCCATACAATAAGACTCAGTTGACTCAGATGGCTTACGTTGATGAAAGTTTATACATCAGATGAATACTCGAGGAGACATGATTCAACATCACACTTCTGTACTTGTGTCTTGCTCAATCACCTCTGCCGAACTTCTCAAAAGGCATCGCATATATCCTAAAAGACATTATCATTATCAGGGTCATGTCACATTGACCCACCTAGACTAAACTGTGACGTATATTACACTGGAGCAGACAACAAGTCTACCAAACATCTTTGCAGATATCAGGAAGAACAGTTGACACTCTCCAAGCTGTACTTGGTGTTCTAATAACAACTGAACTCTGTCAGGTTGAATAAACCTAATGACATCTTTACATTATAATCTAAATAACTACAGAAATTCTACCACACAAGTGTTGTTAAATTTGTGGTTAAATAATGCTAATACATATTGTTACACCTGCATGCAGAGTCTGTTTTACCCAGTTCTTGCAAAGTTAGTCCAGTAGGCGATCATATAGCCAGACAAGTCTCTGTGCCTGTCCCCATAAGCCTTAGGTGTGGTGAAGGGTTTGCCAAACACATACTGCAGGTCATCAGCGTGGTCAGATCCCACCCAGTCATTGTAGGGTTTGCCTGGTCCAGCTAACAAACTGGGCTCAGACAGCATGTAGGAGAATGTACGGCCGGACCTGGGAGATAAAGAATTTATGAACTTATGGACAGAATGTGTTTTGTCTGATACTGTCCAGCATTGTGTTTGTCAACAATTCAAACTTTAACATCCAAGGGCATAAAAGAAAACCGTTTGGCCACATAGAGTTATTTTGTGGCAACCAATTAGCTTTCATCTGGCTATGATGAAACCTCTAAACAACTTTGGGGCTTCTGGCCTAGCCAGAGGAGGTTTGTAATATTTTATGACCAGCTCAGGGACAATGTTGTAGTATAGCCAGAGGAGGGCGAAGATAATCATAAAAATAAATTTGCATTCTGGAAATGTTTTTATTTTTTTTATTTGAAGTGTATTACAGCCTGCTTTAAATTGCCTTAAAGTACGCCACAAATATGCAACCACAAATGTAATTCTAGGTGTTGAGCAGGCTCTGTGTGTCTTTCCCTTTTTGGGACAATAAATGGTGTCATGATTTGGTATTATTTAGTTTTGTATTTTCAGTGTTTAGTGATTCTCTATGTTCTAGTGGGTTTTGTTCATTCTTGAGTTCTGTGTGTCTTCAGTGTTTCATGTATTTTATTTTGTAGTTATCCTCAGTGTTTCTTGTGTCCATTCCTTCCTCTGTGTGTTTCCCTCCATTGTGATTGCCCTCATTGTCTTCACCTGTGTTATTAGTCTTACCTGTGTTTGATTACCCCTTGTCTATTTAGTCTATGTGTTTCTTCCCTTTTGTGTCAGTTCATTGTATGTGTTTGTAGGTGTAATTTGTTGCATGTCAGTTTACCTGTGGCTTCTTCTCTTGTTGGATTTTTTGGAAGTAAGTTTTTGTTTGCCTTTTGTTTAAAGAATAAATTGTTTTTGTGAGTCCTCCTTTTCGTTTTCGCGATCCATGACAAATGGCCCCTATTTAAGTGTTCAAGAATCCATTACAATGAAGTATGTAGTTGTTTTGTGCACTCTGCATGTAGGGCTACCAAAGTCTTAATTGCAATTTTCTATCACAAAAACTTTAAGAAAATGTAAACTGAAGCATTTTATATGTTTAAAGAACGAGAGATCCATCACTGTGTACAGACTGAAGGCTGTTTCTGAATGATGAGAGCCGTCTTGGTCCATTGCTCTTCAAGACTGTGCGTTTCTTTAGAGTCTTAAAAGTCTGGAGTTGTATCTTTAGAATAAACAGGAGAACGGGATTGTTCTCTCTTGTCTTTTGTAATCTCGCTTTGTAAGGTTAACCTTCAAAGGCAAAACAAACATAATGCAGGAACTAAAATACAATTTCAAAGAAAAAGAAAGAAGCAGTTCAGTCTCACTTGGCGTTATCAGCATGCAGGTAGATTGCAATCTGTGCAGGAATCCGGAACAAGTAATCAGTCCCAATGTCCACAGCGGTCCTCTTGATGGTGTCCCGGCTGGGTGATGATTCCCAGTCGGATGCATATTCAGTGAAGGCAACTTCCAAACCTCCTTTTCCGAACTCTTTAGTGTAAGCAGCGAGGAGACTCTTTAAATCTTCTCTGCAGTTAAAAAAAAAAACTATTACATATCACCTCTTTGCTTTCGCTTTCAAAGTTGTAGGGGCCCACAAATCAAAACCACATCTCTCTGATGGTGAATCAGCCTTACACAGAAGTGTCTTCATTCTTGTTACCAATGGAAGGAATATCCTGTGAGGTGAAAAGATGTCCGTCCATGTTATTCACCCCTACAAGGTAGTCGATGTCAGCAGTGTTGTGGAGCAAGTTGGCGGGATCATCGGGGAGGAAGTCACCATCAACAACAGGAGACAGAAGCAGGTTCATCACACCGGGAGCTGAGATAAATGAACACAAGCAGGGTGTTACTTTATATCAAGGACAGTTTTAGATTGTATTCTTGGTTTTTACAAATTACACATCTTTGAGCTCTTTTTATATTTGATTTACTTTTTGTATGCCAATGTAGTAAAAAAGCACAACATCATTAGCAAACTCTCATTGCCATGTATAGATTTTATAAGAAAGTTGTTAAACCTTGAATGTTTTTTCACGTATGACAGAAAACTATGCTCACTATCTGGGGTGCCTTGTACGATGCGGGGAGCAGCCATGGTGAGAGTCTTAACATCAATGGATTTCAGACACGCGGCCATCCTGTCATCAGTGGGGCAGCCAACTTTCTCAGCAACCTGAGTCCATGACAATAAATCAGTATTTAAAGCTGGTTATTAAAAAAGACTGATATTCATACTGATGCCCCTTTATGAACCACAAAAGCATTCAAGACCATCAGTGACAAGAAAGATTATTTCTATTTAGTAATTTGATATGCCTGTCAGTCCTGGCACGGGGTAGGTGTCAGACAAAGTGAGATCCAATACTGCCAAATACACTTATACTTCCAAAGATTCCCTGTGAATTGCACGTTAGACATTAAAAATAAAGACTGATGGGAACCACGGTAACAGCACAAAGAAGGCAGAAGAAAAGTGCAATCATGCAATCATTATATTATCACTTTACTGCTCAATAGCTCACAGAATCTATCTATGACAAATAGTCAACTCCTTTGGATGTTTCCATGTTTTTGTTTAACACCATATAACATAGATTGTATGTGGCTATTTTAAACTGATCAATAGAAAAATAATCTGAACATGAAAACTTACACAGGTTGGGAACACAATTATATTTGGTATCAATAGAGCTCTGAAAGTTTAGATTATGGCCTTAACTCTTTCATCATTTCACACAGTTGGTTTTATAATTTGATTCAAAAAGACAATGCAGCGTATCCTAGACATTTAAAATGAGGACTTCTTTCTTAGAGATTAAGGTCCAATACATGATGACATACCTCCACTGCAAGTTTGTGTGGGTTCTTGTTGATAGCCCATGGGCAGAAAGCAACACCGCTCTGGGAGATGGCTCTCTTGACCAGCCCTTTGTTGTGGGGGGACAGACTCTGTGTAGGGATACATTCATGGAATAAGATATTAGAGCTTTTAGTTGTGATTTCTGGAATATTTACCTGGCTTAGATGTTTTTTAAAGATATCAAAGTGACATTTTTCAGGGATTCAATTTTCCATTTAGATCACAAACAAAGAAGTGAGTATTATGCGTGTATGTCGTGATGCTCTGTGTTGTTATCAAAGTCTCTCTGCCATGTAGAACATATGGTGTAATAAGCGGTGGTGCTGTGTTTCTACTCAGGCCTCTCACCTGGAAGCTGACACTAGCTCCACCTGCAGACTCTCCAAAGAGGGTGATATTTTCAGGGTCTCCACCAAAGGAACGGATGTTCTTGTGCACCCAGGTGATGGCAGCATGCTGGTCCCACAAACCAAAGTTTCCTGTCATGGTAACAAAAGTTAATTCCAGAGCTCATTATCCTAAAAGTCCCAAGAATTGTCCTTACCAGGTAAAGCAGAGTCCCCCGTGCTGAGGAAGCCCAAAGTTCCCACACGGTATCCCACAGACACCACAATAACATTGCCTCTGTCTGCAATCTCCTGACCGCTGTACAGGTAGTTATTCAGGAAATTCGCCCCCATTGAACCGCCAACCATGAAGCCTCCTCCATAAAACCAGATCATGACTGGAAGGTTTGACGACACTGTGGTGAAAAAGAGAAGATAAGAAGAAAATCTACAGTATCCAAGACTCTATTGTTGATGTACAAACAAGAAAAATCTACCTTGACGGCCATGAGGAACCCAGATGTTGAGGTAGAGGCAGTCCTCGCTACCAAAACTGGAAGTCTGGAGCACGCTCATCTGCAGACATCTCTGAGCAAACTTTGTAGCCTTCAGTATACCTGGGAATCAAAACAACATTGACAATTTCTTCTAATTTAAAAAAAAAAAAAGAAGAAGTAATTGCAGTGTTTTACTTCAAGGCAATATATACTCACCACTCCAGCCAGGATGAGGTTTGGGTTTCTCGAGGGTTTCAGGCTGGGCGGCAAAGGGGATTCCTTTGAAAACATCCACTGAGCGGAACAGACCGAGGGGGATGTTTCGTCCCTGAACACTGCCCCCTTCTGTTTGTACCACACCAAGCTGGGGTCATAAAATGACAGAATAAAACAATGATATGTACTGTAACAAAAATAGTGATTAATACAACAAATAGTGACATTGTAGCCAGTGTAGTTCCACTTAAAAAGATGTCCTATTGAATATACTATGTATTTAAAGTATAATTATTGCTTAATGGTGGTCTTAACACTCTGTTTTTAACTTTAGCTTTTTGAGTCGCTCTTTCTGTAATTGGTGCTTTATAAATAAACTTGCCTTGGTTGAAATATAACGTTTACAGAAATATTTCTTAACAATTGTGCAAGTTGTCTTTTGTGCAAAACATCTGTGCCGATGTGTGTTTGAGTAATGTCATGATAAATCTAAGTGAAGGATGATCTTTTTTTAAATACAGTATATATCCCAAAAGAGATGGTTCACTACCACAAAATGACTCAAAGAACAAAAGAATTGAGGAAACAGGAAATGACAGAATTGTTACTCCATACTAAGCAAGTGCTTAGTTCAGACTTCTGCAAATTCTTGTAAGATAAAATTCCTGCAAACTTACAGTGGCTGCTGAAGCCGCCCCCAGAGACAAGACAACAGCAAACAGAATCTTAAGCTTGTCCATGGCTGCTGCCTAGAGCAAGCAACTGTCTCTCCAGGTGCTTATATACACCAGAGTCCAGTAACCCTAGTGACTAAACCAACAGTTAGAGCGAATAGTTGTTAAATATAGCTGTTCACCTGTGTTATATAACCTTTACTCCCGTACAGTTGCCCTGTGTTTTAACTGACCATGACCTCCAAACCTCTAATGGGAAACGACCTGGTGTAAACAGTGACAACTGGCTTGGGAGGTTTATTTTCACACATTTTCTTGTCATAAATGTTAACTTGACTTAGAGGATAAAGTCTGCATCTCCCAGTGACTCACACACAAAGTTTATATGTGCCAAAAGCTAAATTAGAGTTCACGAAAAAAAAAGGGTGACAAATTAAAGGTGCAAAGGCCTTAAGATGTGATTCACATTATGCTTATACACATCGGACAAGTCGGTGACACCTCATGCCCGACGCAATGGGGGCATTTTTGTCCTGGAAGAGAACGCTCTGTGACACCGTAGGATAGAGCTGATGACTCAGAAGTCTGTTGTTTTGAGTACCAGTGACCCTTTACTCAAAGGGTAAGACTCAAACCATGTCAGGGAAATGCCCCCCCGGGCATCACAGCGGCACCACATCTCCTCACTGAAGGGGTCAAGCTTTCAGGCCTCTGCTTTTCTCTTTGTGTATGTTACACATGCGCTCACCCACTAGTAAACAAAGTGGTGAATGATGGCTTATGTGAACATAACACTTTTTAAAATCTCTCTGTAGAGTCAGTGTGTCTAGTATCTGCACCACTGACCTCTGTATTTGTCTTCATAATGAGGGAGGAAACTCTGTATTTAACCCGTTTGTTGTATAGCTTTCTCTATTATTCCCAGCAGGAAGAGCTGCTCTTCTGTTTTTTTTATCTTATATGAGATTATCAGCATTATTATAGATCCAAAGGAGTGTTATTGGATCTTATTGTATTTTCTTAACTTCATGGTTCAGATTTAGTTTGCTGTTTTATTTTGTCTTGTTCTTCCCTCATGTATTTTTTTGTTTGTATTCCTGGTTAAGTTTTTAGTGTTTCCTGTTTTATTTGGAAGTTTTTGCCCATGTGTATCATGTGTAGTGTTACTTCCTGCCTTTGTGTGTTTCACCTGTGTTTGATTACCCTGCATATTGCTTCCCCTCTCTGTCATTACATCTCACCTGTCAGGGCTGTCGTTATGGATTTTTGTGTACCTTTTCATGTACCTTTTTTTAATCCCTCATTGTGACAATAAAACCAAAAGCATGTTTCTTAAAACCAAACTGATATTTCCAAATATACATGGCACCAAAGGACAAAATGTTAAAGTCGCTGTTGAACAGTTAGTTGAACAGTGTTTTGTTTTTTTTCAGATTGGAAATAGAAACTGTGATGATGCTACAGGTAAATAGAATTAAAAAAGTCACACACCAAAAAATCAGATGTCAATACTGCAGCCTTTAAAAAAGGGAGTCCTTGTGATGTCAGTACTGAAGCGCATGCTGCTGTTGACTCACAGAAACAGGTGCACTTATTCACAGAATACTAACAAGCATACAGTCAGAGATGTATAACCACAGAGATTACGTGTGTTGTAAGTTAGAATTGTGTTCATGCTGGGTGTATGAAGAGGTTATCTGTACCTAAGGTCTGCACATAATTAGGTAAGATGGCCTTTAGATACTCAGCCCCCTCTTCTTGGAACACACTACAGGCTGACTTGCGTCTGAGTGATCTGGTCACTCTAGTGGAATTTAAAGGGATGCTGAAAGGGCACCAATTTAAATCACTTGGGATTTAAATTGCAACAGCCCCGAATTGGACACCTGACTTGACTTTTAATGTGTTTGTATGATGTTTTTGTGTGTATTGGCCATGCATCTACTTTGTGTTTCTGATGTCTGTTACAGTGTTTTTATTATTTTTTTGCCACTGATGTACCCAGGTCTCTCTTGACACAGAGATTCCAAAATCTCAATGAGACTACCTGGTAAAATAAAGGTAAAATGAAATACAAGGCTTCCCTGCCATAGCAAAGCTACACAAACACTTTTCTGCTGACAGGTTCGCTGTAGGAAAATAATGCAGACTTTGAAAGGAGAGCAGAAAACACTGACTATTTAGTATCCAAACAGAGATGCCAATGTATTCTGCAACTTTGGAGTTTAAAAAAAAATGACTCTGGTCATGGATGAAAAGTAGTATTTGTTGACATATAATAGTTGATAGTTTTTGCAATAATTAAAAAATGTCTGAGGTCATTGTTAGAATGAATTTTCCTGAATTTATACATTTTGTTAACTTTGTGAAAGAACCATCTGTCTACCATCTAAGAGTAACTCTTCTCTTAGGTTGAAGCTGTAATCATATCTATGTAAAACATCTCATAGCAGCTGAGTTCTATTTGGTTTGGAGCCAACTGTCTGTTGTAAGCAAAGGTTTGCTAAGAATGTATATATTTACGAGTCAAGCTGACGTCTTCTTTCTAACCTTACAGAGATATATCCAAGTGGACAAGAATTTGTAGGCTGTACCTTCTAGCAGAATATAAGCAAGTCTGTCAACATAGAAACTTTGTCAGTACTTTGTTAACATTTTGTGTTCTGTTGTAACTTTCTGACCTCAGTCGATTAAACGGTAAAATAATCCACAGTCTGTTCGCCATTTCATCATTGAATTTATACAGCAGAAACAACCCCCACCCAACAGTCATGAAATTCTTGTTAAAAATGTCTGATGTCCTGTAACTCTTGCTGTTATGTTACTGATTTTGTGCAATCATCAGTCATTTGGAAACTGAACCCTGTTACATTTGCATCTTTCCAACCATTCTGCTTGCTTCCTCTTTGTTCTGGGTTCAATAACAACAATAGACAAAAGTTTGTTTGGCATCCAAATATATACGATATGTATAAGTTTCAGCATTTGAAATATCCTTCAGTGACTTTTAAAATCTTTGGGGGAATTAGGGACTATTATTATAAGGAAAAGTGATCAGCCAGTTGGCTGGCAAACAATTTATTTAGCTTGAGGAAGTACGGCTGTTAATAAGGGATCGAGTAAAACTAAAGCATTTTTTATTAGACTTATTAGACTAAAAAAACCTTTTTAAGCCATCCAAAAGCTTTTCAGTAGTCAGGAAACAAAAAGGAGCTCATGTTATGACTGAAAATCTAACCCTTTGCACCTCTTTCTCAGGAACCCTGATTGTGATTCGTTCCTTTCTGGAAATCAAAGTGACGAAACGCTGAGTCACACTTGTTGAATGAGCATCTTACTCAATGTTTATACAGCTCAGCTTTCTTGACCTCTTTGAGGGAAGCACTGCGGCCACATGCAGCTATATCTTCTGAAGATTTAGCTAAACACTGCCTTTTTGAGTCGATACATACCGAAAGTGGAGATTAGTATTTCTTCCCTTTGTAAATGAAGGAGCTAACTTTTGCTCAAACTCATCCAGCTTGTTGTTGATTGAGAATGTACGGCACTTATTTTCTACCTTTAGATTTTTCACACATCTCTCCCCTGTCAGACAGCACTTCCTTACAAGTTGAACAATAATGGCTACTTCAGTTGCTCTGCTTCCAGCAACAAAATTCCCAGGAAAATTTCCCATATTCATATTTTAAACAATTAGCACTTCCTCCCATAAACTCTCTCAGTTTTTGCTTGATCTTAACCTGTTTGATCTTCTCACTGCACACTGTGTGGTCTGATGATTACACAAAGGTCTGTCATAATGTGTTATTATGTTAATAATAATTATTACAAAAACAAATCTATGCATCATCACCATTGCAGGATCTTGGAGAAGCATCATCTTTTTGAGCTTTTAGCTTTTGAGAACTTTATTAACTTTGGCTCAGAGGAGTCCATTAAATCTACAAGATCTATCTTTGACAAGAGGTTGTTTTGTACCCTTCCATCGTTGGGCAGTCAGCTTTCTGTGTGAAAGCAACAACTCAGTGAACGCTCTGCCAGACGATATGAGGAACTGTAATTCTATCGGCAGCTTAAAAAACAAACGGCAAATCTGCTGAAAGGCGCTCAATTCTGTCACTGAATTTCAGTATTTAACACTTGAATAATATAGTGTGTGTGCGTGCGTGCGTGTGTGTGCGTGCGCGTGCGTGCGTGTGCGTGCGTGTGTGTGCGTGTGTGCGTGTGTGATGTGCTCTGGGATACTCTGCTGTTTGTTACATTTTCTTTTTTTATTGATGTTTTAATTTTGTCGAGGGACTCCAGATGTAAACTAGCTCTAAGCTAACTCTGGAACAATGGTACAATGGTACAATGCATCAAATAGCAACATGTGTTTAATATTAGACATGGTCCCTTTAGAAATACAATTAAATAAATACAAATAAATAACCTCTATCTAGGATGGACTGCAGTGGAGCCACATCTAGTTTTTTAAAAATGTTAAGGGGGAAGCATGAGGCACGATTTTATTAAAAAAATCTATGATTGAATATGTTTGACAATATTTGTCTTTAGATGGTTTAAGAGAAGATGAGATGTAATACTGCACATGTCAAGATCAATATAGAAACCTTGAATCTTTTTTCTCAGGAGTATGGAATAGTCATTGTATTGAACTATGACCAGAAGGCAAAGGAAAATCATCTGTTTAACTCTGTTTTGATTTATTTTGTACTGTATTGATTTGAATTTTTAAAACAGAAACAGCACCACCTGCTGATCATTTATGAGAATATTCATCTCTTTTGTCAGAAAACTTTACACATACTGGTATTTGGAGATACTTAATTTACTTTTTGTCAATAATTCTGTTTAACTTAAAACTCCCAAATATGTTATCTGTTATTTAATTTATTGAGTTCATTTTATGATGAAATGTTCAGTTCATGAAAAATAAGCTGTGTCTCTCTTTCAGTTGTTTTTTCTGTTAGGAGGACTTCCTCTGTTGAGTTTGGCTGGCTGGTAGCGGGTGGGGCTTATAAATTAACACAGTGGCCCAGGTGTGTAAAGTGTGAGGTGAGGTAACAGCATCCTGGGGATCTCCATGCTGAGTCACTGTGAATCACCTCTTGTGACCCGACATCTA